TTACTGATTAAGACGTTGAAAATTATCTTTATACTTTTCCAGCTGTTATATAACAGGGGAAAGTATGAAGAGCGGTCGAAAATTGACCTCCCCCAAAATATTTTTACATATTTGGTCTCCGTTGACCTCGAGACGTTGATGGCTTTTTCTGTTTGTTTGTATGGGGATGCGATTATGTTCATCGAATTTAAAGCTTAATAACTCCTATACCTTTTGTCGAAATTTTCTGAAAGTTTGCAGGGCGGTTTGCGTATTAGGGCGAAATGTTTTCAGAAAATTTTAGGAAAATCGGACCATTGATTCGGGAAATATGACCCCACTCCCTTAATCTCCGAACCAGCCTGAAAACAAATAATGCCGGAAAAGTCCAGCAACCCGTAGCCAGCTTATTTTAAAAAATAACTTAATTAAATATAATTGAAATTTGTTTGAGGCCCCTGTTTGTGGGGGCCCCATCTCTTATAAAAAAATATCCTCCCAAAAATTCTCCCGAAGAAAAATGGCTACAGTCAACACTGTACTGTGCATGGTTCCCTAATTCAAATTTGCCTGGGCGCCCATGATGCCACCTTTATCCAGAGTTAATGGAACTTTTGAGGGGGTGGAAGAGGGTGGTCTTATTAACTAAAATGTACATGATTGACCCGAGTATTTACAATAATCATATTGCAAGACACAAAATTGCCCGGGCTTATGTTAAGAGGGGTGTGGGATTTAGGGGATCACCACAGTACTTTTTCTAGGGTATCGAGGTATATTCATGCCAAATTTGATGAAGATACTTTGAACGGTATAGAACCCTTTACGTAACAAACAAACATATTTTGACTTTTATATGTATGATATAGAGATGGGCACAATAAGAATTTTAATTATTTTTCTATTAGAACAGATATTATTTTATTGACAAGCTGAATGTGATTACATGTGAAAACAGATATAAGATGTTTAATTAAAGAATTTGAGATATGAATATTAAACAATAACAAAAGCATTATATTGGATTATTTATTTGAAATAATATATNTGACTGTTGTTTGGAGGTTATTTTTGTATACATTTTTATTCAAAAAGTTCTTTAAAATATCCACTGTTTAGTAGTGGCCGTTATTACAGGTTCAATCGTATTATATAGACTTTTAGCGAGTGTTTTGTGCTAGGAAGTTTTTCTTTTAAACTGAAAGCAGAGATGGAATTTTCAAAGGATTATCGGACAATCTCTTCGCTATATCGAATTGTTCTTCCAATTGTGCAACTATCGAACCTTTAAACTTAAAATCGTGCTCCTTCGAAAACTAAAATTGCCAGGGTTTAAATTTTATATTCACTTCGCTTTGTTGTCCATTTGTGTGTGTTTGTCCTCAAAGAGTATTGAAAAGTTAAAGAAGACATATTACAATTGGCGAATGTTAGTACAGGCAATCACCTCATAACTTCTTGTAAGCTGGAAAATTCATTAAAATTGATAAAAAAATATATTGGAATGACCTAAATTTTCTACATTATATATTCATAAATAAGAAACTTGTTTAAATTATTAATTACATTCAACACCGTACCGTACATAATACAATAAAAACTGTGAAAGACGGAATCGAAAAGGGAGTAAAAGTTTATCGTTTTATGAAGAATATTTCTATGGAGAAATGCCGAAATAGCTTCGACTTTATAGCTTTTGAGTGTCCGTCTTAGTGAGGTTACGCTTCAGATTTTACTGTACTTATTACACTTATGAATTGCTTTCGGACTGATAAATGGATGTATGTAAATTTGAATTTTATTTTAATTCACTCGCAATAATACAAGGAAAGAAAAGGATCTGAAAATGGTTTGAAAATCGATGATGTTAATTGAAACCTATTGAAGGTCAGAAATAGAAATCACCATATTTAGATAATGAATTGTAAAAGTGGAAAGAATTCTTTTAGGGTTTAGTTCATCTAAAGCGTTAAAGAGTTGCATAACTTTCTCGGCAAAAAGTTTAAAAAATTATGTGTGGATCCATCTGTTAAATCTTTTAATCTTATTAATTATAATAAATTGGCAAAATGTTTAATTTTGAAGGATAAGTTTTTAAAAGAATTATAAATTCTACTAGCGAAAAAATTTTCTTTAAGTCAAGATATGACATATGACCCCTGGCTCCTTACTCAACGACCTTTAACAACCAAATATAATAGCATCAATGTCTCTTATACACTAAATTTCCTGCAAAATTTCAGAAATTTTCGACCAATGGCACAGGAGTTAAGCTTCAAAGTGGGTGAATAAAATCTTGCCCCCCAAACATACAATAACATNAAAAAGTTTAAAAAATTATGTGTGGATCCATCTGTTAAATCTTTTAATCTTATTAATTATAATAAATTGGCAAAATGTTTAATTTTGAAGGTAGACACGAGTTTTTAAAAAAATTGTAAATGCTAATAACGAGTAAAATCATACGACACACGACTCCCCCCCCCCTGTCTCCTTACTCAACGACCTTTAACAACCAAATATAATAGCATCAATGTCTCTTATACACTAAATTTCCTGCAAAATTTCAGAAATTTTCGACCAATGGCACAGGAGTTAAGCTTCAAAGTGGGTGAATAAAATCTTGCCCCCCAAACATACAATAACATCTTTACTTATAGGGGGAAACCATTTTTTGCATTTCTTCACGTTCCAAGGTCTCCTGAGTCCAAAAATGTAATAAAAAATTTTTGGGGATTCTTTTCTCAAGTTACTTTCCTGTATTACAAATAAATTTAAGTCTATTGTTTTTCGTTTCGAGTCGGTTTTTCTTCTCTTAGAATTGTGAAAATTAAAAAAAAAAAAAAAAAATTCAATTATAATCAAAATTTACTCCGTCCTATCTATTAGATGCGGGCATTAAATTACTTTTGAATAAAATTAAACAATTTAATTCCAGTTTCACTCAATAAGCGACGTACTCTTAATTTAGAATTCTGAAGAAAATGTAAAATAGCATTTTGTAATTTAATATATTTATGCATTTTACGAATTATTTGTTACAAAACGAGTTTAGAAAATGATAACAATTTCAAAACTTTAAATGAAATTTACTCACTCGTATTTCACTCACTGTAATTATTTATATAAGAGGATGGCATTCCGATTCCGAATAAAATCCTTCTACCGGTATTATGCTACTTGCGTTCTAATAATGGCAATTTAATGAATTAAAGATATCTGATCTTTGCATATGGAAAAAAAAATATATTTATTTAATTTTACTTTCCCGAGAAACTATGGCGATCGAGAAAATTGGGGTTTTTCCCCTGTATGTATGGATGTTAGTGTGTGTTGTGTGTGTGGAGGGGGGAGGCGCGATTTTGCTCATCCACTTTAAAGCTTAATAACGCCTCTTCCTTTTGTCGAAAATTTCGAAAATTTGGCAGGAAAGATTGTCCATTAGTAGGCTCAATTCTATTAAATTCTGGTGATACAAGGTCAAGGGGTGGGGAAATACAGGGGGTCACGAATTGGACTTAATGAATGAAGATTTTACTGGTTATTAGCATTTAAAAATGTTTAAAATATAGCTCTTCTCGGCCATTTTATAATGATTAATAATATAAAAAGTCTTAACAGACGGCGCCACACACCATTTTAAACTTTTACCGGAAAAGTCACGCAACTCGCTGCTGGAAATGTTTTAATGTGAAAGTAATTAACGTGATCTGTTATTATTTGTTTTCTGCCAAGGGAGATTCCTCCTGGTAAACTTACAAACGTAAAGAAAATCCGGTAAACTCCACCCGATCAGACGTTTGGGGAGGCGCGAACCCGCGACCACTGTTCAGTGGTGCCATCCACTCGGCCACTGCTGGGATGTGAGCTGTATTTTGAAGTAGATTATTATATAGGATCGGTGATAAAAGTCAGTAAAGTTATTTATTCGCTTTCGAACCGAGGTGCGTCGTGTGATTTCGTGTTGATAAGACGTTTAGAAAGGGGTGAACATCACACACTGACTGAGGCTTCAATCAAAAATATTTTTCACAATTTCCAATACAAGAAACGAAAAAATATATATATGTATATTGAGCTTTTATTTAATTACCAAGGGGGAAAAAAGGAATTAAAAGCACAATTTTATTTATACTTGTTAGTAACCTATTCATTACAAGTAATTATGCCGTTGTAGAAGTTAGTTAATCGAGTAGGTGCTGTAGTAATTACTGTTTAGTTTTTGCTCATTTTTACTGCACGTTATCAGCATAATAACGATTTGCAAAGATTCCTTCGTAGTCGGTTTAATTAAAGTAATTAACGAAATTATTATTTTTGTTATTATCCACAACCCAAAAGAGCTATTTGCAATAATTAATCAGAAATAAATGATTTAAAATCTGATGTTACACGATTACACGTTATTCTTTTTTATTGTTTTATCATTCACACGTAACAATAATTAATAATAAATTGCTAATAAGTCGGCGATGATGACTATTAATAAGTTATCTGTATAAATTAAGTGGGGTCCGTCATAAGATCCATTGCATTTGAGTATAAACCTTAGCAGCTTCCTCTTGAATTTTTAAAATATCCTCTTACTTAAGAGGCAGATCCTTAATTAAATGTAGACGTTTTGATTTCTCTTTTGTACACGACAGCGTACTGTCCCTTGGCACACCCTTTCTTTTTTAACTACGTGTACAGTACAATAGTATATTGTGTTGTTTGGTTTATTTCTGCATGAAAAGTCCTCACGGGAGGACTTTCTATGGGAAACTGGCCACTATTTAGGTGTTGCAAACGTAAAGATAAACTCGGAAAACTCCACGTGGTCAGCGAGGTGCGAACCCACGACCAACTATCACGTTCTTATGTCTATTTTAGTTGCTAATTATTAAGTTATTAATTAAATACGATATAAGAAAAACAATTTAATGTAATTCTTTAAAAATGTTTTAAATGGTTAACTGATTTTTGGGATATCCTAATATTTAATGTGGCATTAATTCTACTTTTGTTTTTCAATTCTGCAGGTGATAGTTCTTCCTCACTCCCATAACGATCCGGGCTGGTTAAGAACCTTCGACAGCTACTACGTCTCTTTAACTACCCATATTTTGAATAATATGGCAGACCAGCTGAACAGACACCACGATATGTCCTTCATTTGGGCAGAAATATCTTTCTTTGCAAAATGGTGGGACAGGTAAGTTTGCTCCACTAGTTAGGCTACATTAATAATTGAAATCAAGACTACGTTACGCAGTCTATCCCGGATATTTGCTTGATGGTTCTTATTATAAATGGTTCCGGACATGCTTCAGGTCCTCGGGATGTGAGCGATTTGATTAGAAGATTTAGAATTAATTGTGTAGATTTATTTTGGATTCCATCGTTATAAATTAATGAAGTAGCGGGTACGTTGCCGGAATAGAGGGCATTCAACGTTACGTTGTCACTGAACTGATATAACGATTAAATTTTCCCCCGTACGCGTAACTTATAAGGGAAAATTTATTCGTTATATCACGATTTGGAGTAAAAATAAACTGAAATTTACCTATTTATCGATGAATATGTTCATTTCTATGTTTAATTTAGTCTAAAAATCTTCGTTAAATACTTTTCAAATATCTCTAAAATTTTAAAACGTAACTCACTTCCCCACCCACCGGTAGCCGAATGGATAAAACAACCGAACAGTGGTGGTTAGTCGTGGGTTCGTGCCGTTTTTCTTCACGTTTGTAACACCTAAATAGGGCCAATTTCCCGTAGAAAGACTTTCTGGGAAGCAATCCCTTGCTGCAACATATAAACAACAACAGCTTCACTTGTTACTATTATTTTAACAACACTTATTACTTTCCTGCAAGTTCGAGGTATTCTCTAGATTTTTTTTAAGGTAGCAAATAAGAATTTCTGCTTAAAAAATGGATCTGGAGTAGTGACACTATCCACAATAAAGAAGTGTACGACCGTACAGTATAATTTTTTATTTCTCGAAGAACATATCTGTGTCGTCCGAATTAAATTTTTATTAAATTAAAAATCAATAAAACATGTTCAAATAATCGATGCTCATGCAAATTTGTAACATTTGAAAACTATTGACTATATCGATCCAAAAACAATCGAATCGATCGATCGATCGATGCTCAAATGAAGAGTTAACTCAAATCTATCGTTAACTGTTTATTGAAGAGTTCATTTTAATTTTTCTTTTAATATATATTCTACATTTTATATGTAATTTGCATATTATATAATAATGTATTCCGTATAANATCAGTACAGACAGACAGACAGACAGGCAAAGCATCTCTACGGCCGAGGGATATTTCTCAATCACCTTTTTTGTCCCCATCTGTGGATGCCCAGGTTCATCGCTCCTAGTCAACTTTCATTATTATCAAATTATTAATGGTCTCTTTTTAAAATAATTATTTAAGCTGTAGGAAACGAAACTTTTAAATGAATAATTACATAAATGGACAGCATTCCTCACTTATTCAGTATTCTACCTCAAAAATTGATTGGCACTTTTATATTTTCTGCTTTTTCTTCAATTTTTATTAAGCATGAAATCTTAATCAATATATTACTTAAATCGTTTAATTTATTAATAATTCTACATATATGTATGTAAATACTAAAAGTGTAATATACCGGAAGACATTTCTCAGACAGTAAATTAAAAGTACAGTTTGACTCCCACCCTATAACACTGTTGTTAATTCCGTTTTATATGAATTCCATGTTGTACGAGTCGCTTAGATTTTACAAATACGTGTGCCTGGCTGCGAACGGCTCAAGTATTTGTAAAATCTAAGTGACTCGTACAATATGGAATTCATATAAAACGGAATTATCAACAGTGTTATAGGGGGGAGTCAACTCGTATTCAGCTTCTTCACGCGAATTTTATTTTTAGTCGTGGCATTTTGATAATAATTAGAATCCACTAAAATCATACGTTCTTACTGTTGATTGGTTGGAAGTCGAAAAATAAATACTAATAACTCAGATTAAATTAGATTATTTAAAATGTCCCAGCAAGTATGGAACCCCTCTTTTTATGTAACGTAAAGCCCGTTTCACACGACACTCGAAAGTACAGGATCTGTGAAAAACAGGATATAGGAATTTCTATAACAGCACGTGAACCTAATACTAAAACAAGAGAGTACATCTGTACTCGTACCCGCCATTGGCTATCGTTTCTCGCTTCCAGCCAATGAACGAAAAGAACGAACATCATTTTAAAAGTGCCCTAACTTTACAGAATGCCACAACCAAAAAAACATGTGACCACCTATTTTTCAAAAGTATGACGTTGCCTTACGTCATATCATATACCTGTACATATATATAGAATTATTAGTGATTTAAATAATATATATATATATATATGTAGATATATTAGAATTATAAATGGCTCTGCGTGTGTATATACATATATAGAACCATTAAAAAGTTGAATGTTATTAATACGAAAAACTAATATATAAACACATAATTACGACAGTAAGAAAATTGTTCGAATTCTTCTGAGGTTAATTATACAGATCTTAAATATTCTTATATATATATATATATACACTGTATAATAAATAAGTTGTACCTGTAAAATACTGTGTCATATAAGACACAAGGCAAGCAATATAGTAGTATATTTGAATTAGTGAAACATTATTTGTTGTGATAGTGCATGCATGGTGATTATATTCATAGTTATTTATAGTAGAATAATTGGTAAATTACAAGTACGTAGCGAGTAATATTAGTATATTTAAAGAGACATTTCCATGTTCTTTTTTTAATTTCCATTATGGATAATTATTTATAATAATATTTATCTTATAATATATATATATATATATCGTTGATATGCAGAAATGTGCACATTGCTGTTCATTTGTTATCAGTAAAAAGGGAGAGAAAAAAAAAAGAAATAAAATTCTTGTTTTATATGCGTTTTGTGTGTTATTTTTTATGATTAGAAAATAAAATTTAAAAAAAACAATAGTAATCTTTTGTAAGTTATTAATTATGTAAATTACTGGCGAATTTTAATTTATTTATTAAGGATAATTTAATGATTTTATTATTTAAATTAAGGTAGTAAAGATATCTGTGTGGCTGGAGGATCCGGGTTCGAGTGCGGGTCAGAAATGTTCGATCCAGAAGCCTCACCATCTGCATGCCCGTTGGCTTGGCTGGTGGTTCTGTTTGTTTGTAAGCGAAAACGCGACAGGAGTGGAGGAGGACCCTCCACAGGAAACTGGCCTCTGTTCAGGTGCTACAGGATATCTTCACTTTTGTGGCACTTAATTAGGGGGTGTTTCCTATAGAAAGTCCTCCCGGGAGGCATCCCACTCGGTAAATCGCTCACGTACCAAGCGGTTTTGTTCTCTAAACACTGGTAGTATTCGGTCGTGGATTTGCGCCTCGTCAGGACGAGCTGGACACGTGGAGTTTTTCGGATTTTCTCCACCTATTTAACTCCTGAATAGGGGGTCCAGTTACCCTTAAAAGACCTCCCGAAAAACATATCGCCCAAATGTTGCTTTACCAAAACTAACAAAATAAATCAATCTTCTCTCAATATATTGGAGGCCTCAAAAAGTGGCCAACGTTTTTTAATCTTCGAGAGGCCCTAATAATTCGTTTGTTCAACACTAAATTATCTATCAACCAATGCCGATCAAATAAAATCCCAGGAAATTTTCGGAGGTTGGTCTGTCCGGATTTGTCGGGTCCTGGCCGTAATGGGCTTGCTAAAAGAGGCCTCCTTAGTGAACACAGGGCGGAAAGAGTTAATAAATTAACTATATGAGAGTTTCAAAGTGTGGCAACCCTACGACATATCCGAGATCGACCACTTCCAAAAAACTCCAGCAGTTCTTTGACCGGTCCAGATTCGAACCCGGACCCCCCCTCCAAAACAGTATGCTGAAACCATCACTTTTCTATCATTATTTTACTTACACCCCCTCAAACAATAAAATTAAAATAATTAAATAAAAGTTAATATCAATTCCCTTAACTAAATGAAAACATTTGGATATAAGTTTTTCAATTTCAAGATATACTGTATATCCATTTAAAATAAGAGGGGAGGGTTTAGACACGAACAGGGCCCTTAAGCTATAATTTCTCGAAGGCCTTCGCTTCATCCAAATTAATTTAAAAGCACGAGGCCCCAAGCATTAATTTAATTTCTGTAAACCTTTATAAAATATCGATTGGTGGATATTCGATTTTAAAATTAGCAATTATTAAATGTGACGTCACAATGCCGGAATGCAATTTTTAATCATATTTAATTAAGCAAAAATAAAATTGCGCGTAACGCCATCTGTTATCGGATTTTGTTATAAAAACTTTTATATTTTTAACTCCTGAATCCATTATTAAACTTTCAAAAGCGCCCTCGTGTGGTTAAATAATATTACTATTTATTTATATTTCTTTTTTTAATTTGAGAATTTTTATAATTGAATTTTGTAAGTTTTATTTATATTTGTTTAATATTCATTAATTATTACGTTAATCGATTTTTTTTAACTTACTTGCTCGTCTGTTTGTGTGTCTGCCAGTCAGATTTCTGTGAAAGTAAAAGATTTTGAAGGTTACGATTTAAATTCTATACCACTGTAATTAAAAAAGTATCGGAAATGGTTCAATAATACGCGAGATTTGAATTTATTCATCATTATTTCGCCCCCTTCAAAGTAATCCACCAGTGGCCGAACGGATAAAACACCTTACGCCTGCACAATGGGCTAACCACGTGAAGTTTTCTTCACGTTCATAAAACCTAAATAAGGACTGGTTTCCCGTAAAAGTCCTCTCCCCTTGGCAGATCTCTCACGTGTCGCATTGCCGTAGCCAAAAAATTAAAGCAAATCGATCCCCTCCCATTGCATTGCACTTATGCCAACGTTTTCTCCGATCCTCAAAACATGCATTAATTAAAGGACGTTTACGCGAAACCCCTCAGGACTCGCAGCAATTTTGTTTTATGGCATCGATCGATTCAAAATGGTGACCACCAAGCGTAAAATTTTACTTCAGGAAACGGGAAAATGTCGGGCGAATACGAAGCTTTGCGCGACAATATTCGTCGTTCACTAACAACGACATCAATGAGAGCGGGTGCATTATCGTGGTGCAAAATCCACCTAGTTTTCTCGCCACGAATCGGGTGGTTTTTCTACGAATTGCTTCGCGCGATCGATGCAAAACGCTGAAATAATATTCTTTGTCGACAGTTTGGCAAGTCGGAAGGTATTCCTGATGCAAAACGCCGCGACGATCCAAGAAAACAGTCGGCACGAGTTCCATTTTTTAATGACTGTCGTGGTCTTTTCGGTCTGTTTTCACCTTTCGAGCGCCATTCACTCGATTGTTCAGTTGTTTCGGTGTCAAAAGAGTAGATCCACGTTTCACCATCCGTACGCATTTAAAAAACGAATCGCCTGGAGGAATCTTCTCATCGGCCACTCGAACGCGTTGTTTTTGAAAAAAAAAATGAACTCGTGAAGCGAAGTGCTGCAAGCCCAAATACTCTTTCAAAATTGATTTTGATACTGCAACACTTTCAATAATGTACGTAATTGTTAAACGACGATGATAGAGAAACACATTGCTTTTCGATGTCGTAAATCAAAGGTGAACAGTTCGGCATTCGTAGGTACTGTATCTACGTTTAAAGATAAATTTGGGAAAATTTCTTGAGGTACTATTTTTTTCCTTTGTCTGGTATCTAATTTGCATAGAATGAATGCACAGCACGTTGAGTGCGACGTGTTCGGCGGTGGAGGTGAGTTGTCGAACAGCTGTGGACTGGGCGAATTTCATACGATACGAATGGTGGTTTCCTTGTTTAATTTAACCCGAATGAAAATTGGGGGATCTGGAAAGGTGGTCGGAATCGACGAGGCCGTTGTGAGCAAAGGGAAGAACTAAAAAGGGCGGTTGTTGAAAGGCACCGGGTGAACGTTTCGAGTTGTTCGCCCAGCATACGAGTAAAGTGTATCCAGAAGCGGGTCGTGTTCCAGTTTGGAAAGAGCCATAAACCTAACCTTCTGTCTCTAAAATAACCCCCAAGAAATCCGAAAATCGTAAGAGGAAGCTTGTCGACAAGTGTGTTAGGAAGACGAAAAAGTTTCCTACGAAGGAAAAAGCTCAAGATACGAAAGAATCAGCCGAACCCTGTTCGTCCAAGACTACGCGGAAGAAAATAAATTAGAAATATTTCAAAAGTGAGTAAAGTTTGTTTTCTTTCAATGCCGATGTAGTGTTGTTAATTAACAGCACCAGCTGCCATCTTGTTTGTAGACGTCACGCTCACAAAATACATTATGACAGCAATTTGAAACGTTATAAATATAAAATGATAAAGAATAGAGTCAATAGATTATCTGGTCTCTGAATGCCTATTGTTTTCATCCGTAAAAGTAGAGAGGTAATTAAATAAGTTTGCCAATAGATGTGTGCAATCATTTAGGCTCTTGATTTGTTTATTGTACCGGTATAAAATGAATGTTATGATATCAATAATTGTATATTTAACTGTATTTTACTATCGTTACGCGGGGAATAATGCCTTCCGGGAGGTATTTTTAAGGGTAACTGGCCCCTATTTAGGCGTTACAGACCTGGAGAAAACCCGATAAACTTCACGTGGCCAGCCCGTCCGGACGAGGCGCTAACTAGGGTTTCTCAAACGGGATCCCGGTTGTTTTTTTAACTCGGAAAATGAAAAACCCTAGCTCTAACCAACGACCGAACTCCCAGTGTTCAGGGAACGAAACCGATTGGCCTACTGTTGTTTATTTATTTCGGTTAAATTTTAGATACGTATACTGTCATGGCGGCACTTCCTGTTGCCGTTGCGACTAGCCTCGCTCCCGACGCCTTGGCTGTTTGGTGCCGAGCGTTGTCACGTGACGTCCCTACCGGACTGTATCGTCGCGTGATAGTTGTTCCGCGTAGTTTAAACCAGGTGGCGCTGGTAATATCTGCTGTTGATGTGCGCGCGTGCGCGCACGCGTTTCTTTTGCCGATGCGGTGGCGAATTCGAATTCGCAATAGATTTCAAGAATTTGACCTCGAGGAATTTTTTTTCCGTTGCTTGGAGTTGGATTATTCGGAGTTAGGTATTGATGTTATGATACCTTCCGATATAAAATTCGCGATTGAGATGGGTTTGCAACCGGTGGATGCGGCGGTATCCTCGTAAAATATATAATAAGTTATAGAAAAGACGCTAATTCCGTTTATTTCCGACGTCGTAAGTGTAACGTTAATATTTCGGCACTCGAAGGTGGTAAATTTGCTAAGGTATGGCGGGGAACGATATTCGCTTTAGTGTGGCACCTCATTTGCATAGATAGTTCGTCGAATCTTTGTGTTCGGCTATTGCAGTAAGTTGCAGGGCTGCGATTCCTATTTATACTCGTTTATGTACAGAAAGTTTCTTAAACGGGAAAGTTTGAAGCCGGGCGAACGTTTCAAAAATTTTTTTTTTTTGTCGATATTTAAGCAAAAAAATTTTTTATCCAGGAGCAGGCCTCGTGTACGAATGGGAGGAGCCAGAAACCGTTCCAGCAGCCCCGGAAGCGATACCGAAGCGCACAAGTGGCCCGAAGAGAGAAAAAAAAGAGGAGGAAGAGCGTCGCGACGATGAAAAAAAGAAAGAATTATCGACGAAAAAGGATAATGCCGAAGTTTTCGAACGTAACAATCGGTCCAAAACGCGTGTTAAAGTCGACGAACGACTGACGCCGACGGTGAGTAAAACGTGTTTAACATATATATAAATCGTTTAGATTTAATATATTTATTTATCCGTACGGGTTATTGTTATCGCGTTGGTATTTCGCGCGTAGAATTTTATAGTAAAGTTAGTAGTAGTCGTCGTCGTTATTATAGTATAAGTTAAGTTAGTGTATATCACGCGACGATCCAGTCCGGTAGGGGCGTCACGTGACAACTCTCGGCACCAAACAGCCAAGGCGTGGGGAGCGAGACTAGTCGCAACAGGAAGTGTCGCCATGACAGTATACGTATCTGAAATTTAACCTTTATTTCATGTATAAAAAAATGTATACGTTATCGTACCTCTGTCACTGTCGTCATAAGTACTGGACAGTCGATCATTGCTTTCGACATACTTAGAAAAAGTGGACTAGTACCTTAAAAAAATCAAAATTCAAATGTAAACAACATAACACGTGCATTCGATACTGTAAAACACGTGTTCTACTGAGAGATCAACTTGTTTCTTCTTGGAAACAACTACAGCTTTTCTCTCCGATGGACACGGCGGTGTTTTCGGGGCATTTTATTCGTAAACGTCGTTGATTAGACTGTCTTTTTGCTTATAATTTGTGTTCATTTTTAAATATTTTTGGGCGTTTTCGTTAAGGGTAAGAAAATGTAATCAAAAAATGTATAGTTAAGCCTGTATATACATTATTAATACGGGAGGCCTCGGGATTCCCTAGAACCCTAAACCAGGAATAAAAGAGGTCGATGAAAATTATATACAATTAATTATGGAAATGTATAGAAATGTTAAACCATGTGTTAGGATAGAATAGATTTAAAGCGTTACAAAAATAGGGGATTTGGGTGGTTTTGGAATTTATCAAGGTTAAGCCCATAATATTAGGTGAATTATTGTAGTTTTCAGTGAGAAAGGAGCTATAATATATGTTATTCACAATTTATATTGTGTTTATTAAAGAGGGGGATTAAAAGTCAATTTCAAATGTAGGCTGTTAGAGGAAAAAGTGGACATTTCAACTATTTAGACAACATATTCAACATATTTACAGACACATAATAACAGAGGTAATTAGAGGATGATGAGTCGTAGGATGGCGAGAGTTCGGACAGTACTGTTAGATATTGATAGTGATTAGTGATGGCATTGAGTCTAAAAGAAAGACATGATAGTGATGTTTTAAACCTATATAAAAAAAGGACAGTAGGCTATTAATTAATAAATCATTCATATTCTACTTTTGATAGTGCAAAATATTATATAAATTACCAAAATACATAGAGCCAATGTGTGTCATAAGAAATTAATTTCTCCTGTCAAATACAGAACTATTTTATCCCAAATACTATTTCTCACTATACTGAAATTGTATATAACACTTTATGTAGTGTTAGAGTTAATAAATTATTTTAAAAAATAGTGTGTTTTTATCTGGATTAAATTTCTATGGCTATTTAGATGTATCGGAGGATAAGCTATGGTTTTGCTAATTGTCATACATATGTAATAAAACAAAACAGTAAAATGCCATTACCTATTTAATAAACAGACATATTATACACAGAACATTATGTACAAAACTTTCATTCACAATATAGTTCGAATTACCGTTGAGAAAGTTCAAATTTTTAAAATATTTTACATCAATCCTGAAGAAGGTCTATAAATTAGACCGAAAACGTTAGAGAACTGACAAAAGTAGACTGCATTTTAAAGGTATAGTGAAATGTAGCAATCCTGAAGAAGGTCTATAAATTAGACCGAAAACGTTAGAGAACTGACAAAAGTAGACTGCATTTTAAAGGTATAGTGAAATGTAGTAATTAATTAATGCAGTATCTATTATAATATTCATTATTTTAAGAGCAATAAAATTATACTTAAATATCAACATAAATAAAATATCACAATGTATATAAATAAGGTAAAAAAATTACAAATGTTCTTATTTCCATGGCATACATTTATCTTTTGGACTTTATCATCACAAAGTCATAAATATTAAATGCAATTATTTATAATATTCATTATTGAATAAAACAAGTGTACTCACGGTTCCAATTCTAAATGATCATTCTTCATTTCCACAAATTGCTCTTTCTTTAATATTCTAAAAATAGCAAAATTACAATTAAGCAATAATTTTCATCTTCACAACTTATATTAACAAATATTTGTATATTAAAATCCAATAATTTTATTAACACTTTCTGTGATAAACTAATGCTAATCAAAAACTCATCATAAAAAAATAAATTTCTCTATTTCTTTGTTGATATGCTGCTAAATGACTTAATTCTTTTTCATTCTCTTCATCCAATGGGTACTAGTAAGTACTAACAAGTCCACAATGGTATAGCCAAGTAATTGGAAAAGGATCTATCTAGGCAAGACTATCAATGAAAAACTATTGAGGAGAAACCGTAAGAGCAATACACACACATTTCAGTTATTATGATCATCTAATTGCCAAATGCAGTTCTTTTTTTCTTTGCCTAAGTATCCAAATCAATCAGTAAGACTATTAATTAATGTGAGGAAATAGTTATATGTGCATAAGATACAGCTAGGTATATAGACATATAAGAAAACAAATTTCAAATTACACAATATTAAAATCATCATCATCACTTCAACATAAATTTTGTACCTTTCCACTGGCATAAAAACAAACTGTTACTTTCTGAATTTTTTAGATGTTTTTCTGTTTTAAAAACAAACTTTCACTATTATTATGAATTTTTACATTAAAAAAAAAATAAAGAAAATCCTAAAATATACAAACATATATTAACATTAATAAATAGTTTATTAAACAAACATCATAATACAAATTTCTAAATATAACCTATACTTCTTATATTCAATATATTGTGAATAACAGAATTTTTTATTTATTTATTTTGAAAACATTACTTACGTTTGTGATTGAGTTGGATCATCTCCAAGTGTCACAACATCACCTGGAATTTCTTGAAAACATTTCTGGCAGTAGGTATATCTAAGATAATAGTATTAATTATGAAAGTATGAATACTAATTTATTAATATTTCACTTCATAATAAGTTCAATAGCATTAAAACTATGTTATATACTTTTAATTTAATTTTTTTAGAAAATTTAAAACACATTTAGAACAATTTAAAAATCTAATCTAAACTTCTTACAATTTTATAATAATGAGCAAAATATTTTTAACATTAAACTATTTAAACTAACCTATTCTGATAACTCCAATATTTTGCATCTCTTGGAATGGTGCACAGTTGTTTGCCAAAACAGCACAGAACTTGTGGTTGAAAAACATATTTTCTGCCACAACAATAGCCCAAGGATTGCATGACTGGATCAATTTCTTGTTCAAATACTTCAGATAACTGCAACCATTCAAAATACATAAATTTAGTTTTCATTAATTATAAAATAATTACATAAATATATAGAGTTGGAAATCCAAAACTAAGATGAAATATCTCTAAAAACTGTTATCTGTTGATTCCTATAATCTTTCAAGCAACTGCTTTTTAAATTTTATATTCTATATCAATATAAAGAATTCCTATTTTAGCACATTAACTAGTAACAAACTACTCAAATAAGCCTACCAGAGAAATGAAATAAAGATTTTAGTTCATCAACTTTAATGTAAGACAAAGTAAAAATACACAATCTTGTTATTAAGATATAATTTATATGACTGATTATGGCATAAACTATTTTCTTTAGTTAAATTAATGTTGCTGAAATTTTATCTATACCATAACATCTGAAGTACAGTCACTTGATTAACAAGTAAACTTAATTTTGAGCAATAACAGTAGATAATAAATATGCTGATTCTTTATTACTAAAACTGCATATTAATAAATAGTTTTATATTAATATACTATAAATTGATACTCACGCCAAATATTGTATAGCAGGATGGAGAGTTCACACTAATAATGCTGAACTCATTGAACTCTCCATCCTGCTATAGTTTTTTATTAATTAAATAATAAAACCTATAAACTATCTAAGCAAGATAAGACTATTCTTTGTCTTTTTCACAGAAAATTTATAAATGAATTTCCAAAACAATTCCAAATATTGTAATCAATCAGGCAATCCACATAAAAAATGCTTTAGTACAATTAATTAATAAGTGATCAGTGCAAAAATTGATTATAATTGATTTTTACAAAAAATAATTTAGAAATACAAAATTAGTCACAAGATTTATCTGCTTATTCTTTTAACTAACATATATATTAAGAGGTTATTATTTTGTATTAAAAGTGTATTTAATAGTAAATATTGTTTAACAGTAAATCAGTAACTATTTAGATTTAAAATCACAACAACATTAGAGAAAATTAACTTTTTGAAACACAAACATCAATCAAAATTCTTTTAAAAATAGTATCAATATTAATGCAAGATACACAAATTTGTATTTAATTTCACAATTTTCAATTATGCATTACCATTTGAAAAATTTATCAGGAATCAATAAAAAGATACCAAATATAAATAATATTAAGTAATGTAAAAGTCATTATTTATAATTTGAATTTTTAAATTTATAACTTTTAACCATAAAAATTAGAGAGAACAAAACAGTGGAATAGTTTTCATTATAATATATGATAAGTACTAATTATATATAATCTGCTTTTCACATATATTGCAATAATGATTAATAAATACTCACCTTTGTACAGTACCTATACACACGAGATGTTTTTCGGTTATACAGCCAAGCATTATCAAACATTAGCCAAACATCATCTACATACTGCCAAGGATCTTGATATTGCCCTGTATCTAATTTTCTTTTAATAGTAGATAAGTCCATAGGCTTTTTGACAATGTCAAAATAATCCTATAAAAAATACATAATTTTAAACATTAAATATAAAATAATAACAACAACAAGAAAAACAAATTTAACTTTGCAGATATAGCCAATCATAAATTCAGCAATGCTAGTATATAATAGAAATGAAATTTCTTAACTTATTCTGAATTCTTGATCTTAAGAATAAAATTTATAAATACAATCTAAATATATATATAAAATGTACAGCATCTATATCACATTTAAAAAAATACAATCTATATTTTACGGTGACGAGAGTATACTTTGTCAGCATCAACATACAGTAGAATGTTGATATAATTAATTTCAGGAGACCCCCCAAAAATGTTTATTGAAATTATATATATAATAATTATTATAGCTGCTTCTAGCCCATTAATTCGGCTTTGGTTGGTTTAATGTTTATTGGGTTAGCTGATGTTTGTTTATATACAAAGATGTTATATGTTACTTATATCTTTTTGATGAGACCAGGCCCCATCTCTAAAATCATGCTGCTGTCAACGAATGCACATCTTAAAGTTATGAAGGAGGATGCACACATGCGGTGCAGCAAGAAACAGCGGTGTCGCAAAAGCATCTTCGCAACAGGGCAGTACAACCATATGAGCAGCAATCCACTTACATTTTGGCACATGCATTCAGTATTCAAGATGACGAACAATACCGACACTGCCACTATCCATGTGTTCACAAATTTTGTTTTGTACAGCTTGTCTTATTTAGCTAAAAGATTTTGTCAAAGTTTAAAACAAAGTTTTTGGTTTAGAGATATTTTCTTGGATCGAGAAAGAACTGGTGTACAAAATACGCATATTCCTCGATTAAGATCTCTCAATAAATAATACTATTTCGAGTAAGATTTGGTTTTGTTCTTTGAATTAAATTATATATGATAATTTGTGTAGAATGTGTGTTAAACTTATTGTCCTTTCCTCTTTATTCTGATGTTAGTTATCTTGGTAATCACGTCAAACTTTCCGCCATTAAAACACCACATGATTGTATTTTCTCACATGACTACCAGATGAACTGTTATTGGCTGATAGAAACGCATCTTGGCGGCAGTCGGCGCAAAACATAGAATTCAACTAACTTTTGCGGCACAAAATCAACTTCTGCGGCAAGAAAAAGTGACATCATTCTGTCACTTTTCCTTGCCATACCGCATGTGTGCATTCTCCTTAAAGGAGTACATGTCAGGAGTTGCAATTTGGCACAGAGTATTTGGTGCCCAAATCATGCGCACAGATTTGTAGGTAGTCAGGTCAGGAAACCAAGAACTGGGTCAAAAGAAAATACGGAATGCTGAGACTGTTTCTACAAACAGGTGCAATTGCGAGATTTGCACATGTATTGCTCGCATTCTCCGAGACATAGTCTTGTCCCAAAAATGGCTTCATCGTTTTACTTGTTTTATTTTATTACTTATTTCAGGTAAATCAAGTAGTTCAGTTGTGAAGTACTCAATTTAATTCACACTCCATATTCTTCCTATGCATTGGTTTCCTGTATGTGATGTTTCTCTCCCAGATACCCCTTGAATCTTGATCTCATGCCTTAAATGATGAGTAAGGAAAATAACAAAATTAACATAGACATAAATGGACCTCTTTATCATATATCTCTGATAACTTGTGGCTATAACTGAGGTTAGTACATCAGCAATCCATTATTTACTTTTGAACTCATCCCTCTTCTTTGGGTACAGTTGTTTACCAATTGAAAGACAATAGCAAAGAAGAAAAGAAGTAACAAATTGTTATAATAAAATAAAAATTGTAGGAATTCTATTACTGACAGAAAAGAAAGAATAAACTGGAAAATCATGAATTATAAATACGTTTGTACAAATGTAAAATTTTGCTATGGTTTTCTATGAAGGTTGAGTCGGGAAAAATATGGAAGTTTGTTATTACAAGAATCATTATAATGCAATTCTACTGTAGTATTANCCATGTTGAATTTTCGCTGATGTTAAGCCTATTTTTTTTTTTAAATAATAATCGTGTTTACTGTATCGTAAAAAATTATTTTCTTATGTTTCACAAACAAAATAAATATATTGAATAATATAGAAACAAAAAAAAATTATATTTGAAAAGTTCGTTTTAATATAAAAATTGTGATGCATAGCGACACAATTTTTATACGTTCCGATGTAAACACGAAAATATTTGGGATCGCCGCATAGGTCAATGAGGTCGACACGAATATTTTCGGGAACAACATAAGACTGGTTAAGCTTTTAGTTCTTATATAACTGTTCTTTTAAAGAAGAGCAGTTATATAAGAACAAAAAGCTTACCTCTTTGCTTGTTATGACAAGTTCTAAATATTTAAGCAAGTAGGTGAGCTTAAATCAGAATGCTAATATTTCTTAACTAACACTTCCAAAAAAATAAGTCTATTAAAATAAATAGCTAATTCTAAGCTGTTAACTTTACATAACATTTTGTAAAAATGTAGTCCTCATATAAAGATACTGTTTACTGTGCTAAAACTCTAACACTTAAATTTGATATATATTCATCAGTTAAATTAACAAGGAGAGCCTACACAACAAATAAATCGCAAATATAAATAATAAAAAATATCCTTGTATATTTTATGTAAAAAAACAAAATAAAGAACTCTCTCCAATTTATTCATAGATTAAAAGAAATGAATAAAAAAGAAATTAAAAAGTAATAATTATAGATATTATTAAATAATAAATTTTTTATCCCAGTTAGTAAAACAGAATGAATTTAATGTTACTGTTAACAACACCATTTCATAATGTAGTGTTGAAGATACTGAAGAAATATTTCAGAATGGAATGAACTCTGCTTTAGCAAAAACACCATTAAACGATTCTTTAGTTATATCCATGTGGATAAGTTTGTTATGACACACAATGAAAGAAATGATGCTACTTCTGTGGAGGAATGGACCAGAATGATCTACAATGAACTTACAGAAGATTCCAATGAAGGATAAGAAGAAAAAGTAAAGATGGCTCTCTTTTCACACTCGCAAGACATGGCAGAAGTTACAATGCTCAATGCCATTTCTTCTAATGAGAACATGGTTTATAACCTTGCCAAGTCATTTGATTCAATTTGTAATTATGTGGGAAGCTATGTGAAAAATGTAGGAAGAAACAGACTATCATTAATAATTTCTTTACAAAACTGTAGACCTAACTAATGGAATCAGAATACTGTAAGGCAGTTTTGATTGTTGACTTGGACTGTAATCAGATTAATTTAATTTTAGATATTAAACAGAAAAACTAATCAACAAACATGTTCCTAATTTTTATTATTTTGAGTACTGTAACATATTTGTTTCAGTACAATTTCATGTTTCAAATCTACAACAGAAAAGGAAGTCAGTTTTAAATATAATCCCCTTTAACAAGCATCCCATTAGTGCAAATTTAGCCTTTACTTGTTCCTATTCTGATGATTTGCATTAGCAAGCAATTTCTGTATACCAGTTACTGCTTTCCCTTGTTCATGTTTTTGAAAATATTTTAATTGAGGTTTGTCTGTATCAACAATTATTTCATCAATTCTTGTATTTTTTTGACGTATTCTTCTTGTTATTGATGGAAGTTGTCATTACTAGCTTACGAAACACCACCATATCCCTTGGCCAAAAGTATCATTTTGATTTTAAGATTTTTCAAATATAGGCCTATAAAATTATAACTATTGAGAAATAATTGAAATAATTTAAAAATTTATATTAAATTATTTCATTTGTTTACATTGAAATAAAAACTATAAACAGGGACTGAACTTTATGCACAACTTTGTGGGAATACATTAAAATGGTGACACAAAAGAGAGGTTGAGGCGCACGTTTTAAACGTGTAAACGTGTACGTGTGACGNAGAACTCAAGCTTACGAATCAGACTCGTTACCACTCTGCCACAGGACGCTCGAATAGAAATACGTATAATTTATATATAAAGTGCTAACAAAACTTTAAGTTCGATTTTCTCGATTATATTTGAGTATTGCACTTTAGTATTTTACAGGTAGTACACTCACATCGTGTACTACCTCTACACCAAAGATCATCAAAATCCGTTACCCCAAAGCCGTAGGCTCTCCTTGTAAGATATATATTAATGATTATAAAAGTGGTTTAAGTCCTATGTTTTTGTTTGGTGATATTTCGACTTTTGAGTTTGTAAAATAAAAAAAAAAGTAATTTTATGATTTTAAAATGAAAAAAAAAAAAAAAATACATTTACTCTTGTTTACTTAGTTTTTTTTATGAAAATGTAAAATTTTATGAATAGTTCGTGATATAAATTCAATGTTTCCCTATTTTTGACTTAGACCACTTTCACAAATCACAGCACATATATATGACCTAATAAAATATAAATAATTAAATTAAAGCACTTACAGGAATTTGAAGCAAATGAGGATCAACAGGTTGTCTAAATGGCAGTGATTCTGGATCTTGTCTATAAAGTTTTTCAAGAGTTGGCATTAATGCTTGACGTAATTCATCAGGTTTAAAAACTTTTTTATTAGGTCTTGGTCTGGGTGGAGGTTGAGATTGTTCTGTTGTAATTTCTGATTTCACCTCTATCGGAGCCTCACCTGTACTTGCTGTAGACATTGGTGTTGAAGGTTCTTCTTTAACAGATACAGTTTCTTCCTTAACACCAACAGAACTTGAATTAAATACTGAAGAACTTTCATCCATTGGTTCTTGCTTAATTTCTACTTTAATTTCAGTTTTAATTTCTGTTTTTATGTCAGGTTTGGTTTCAAATGAATCTGCTTCCATCTTGATTTCAGCAGTCCCATCAATATTTTTACCTTTACCACTATTTTGACTTTGGTTACTAACTGCAGCCGTGTAAGTAGGAAGTGTCTCTGTTGTACCTGATACACCAGATGACAATATGTTGGTTTGACTTTTACCTACTGAAGATATTGCATTAACAGAATCTGGTGCTGGAAATGAAGAAGAATCATTACTATTATCTATATTTTTTCCTATGCCACTATGTGAGTTTTGACTATCTTGTTGACTTTCTAATCTTAATGTGTAAGTATTTTGAAGGCAAGCTCCTGGAACTGATGCTGCTCTTGGTGGTTGTTGTATAGGCAACTGCTGAGATTGGGGTTGTGGTGTTGATGATTGTGGTATAGGATGAGAATGAGGCACAGACTGTGACTGTATTTCTGGTGACAGCATGGACTTATTTATTGTCTGATCTGACAATAAGTGCTGTTGTGGCTGAATTTGTTGTTGCTGTTGCTGCTGTTGTTGTTGTTGCTGTTGTTGCTGCTGTTGCTGTTGTTGTTGCTGCTGCTGCTGCTGTTGTTGTTGTTGTTGTTGTTGCTGCTGCTGCTGCTGCTGTTGTTGCTGTTGCTGCTGTGCTGTTAGCTGTTGTCCTTGCATCATTACAGGCATCTATTAAAATAACAATAATAAGTAAAAATAACAAAAATATGCTATTTAAAAATATTTTAGAGAGAATTGATATTAATTATATCCAAAAAATTATTTTAAAACAACTGAAGTCAAGAAAATAAAATTTATTTCTTTACTATCCTTAGTTGATTTTTAACTACAATTTGCAATCTATAAATTATTACTGAATGCAAATATTTTCTAGAATAAAAATATATTTTTATCTAAAAGATGATGTGATTATTAATATTTAATCTTTATTTGAAATAACATCATAGTATATTTTTAAATTAAGTGGGAATATTATTCTCTCAAACTAATAATGATGTAAATCATTCTTAATAAAATAATCTACCTGAGAATTTGTAGCAGCAGCTGCAGCAGGAAGAGAACCAGATAATGGCCCTTGATTCAGTTGTCCCATTTGATGTGTGACCTGATGCTAATAAAAAACATTAAAAATACTTTATTTCTCTTATCTCTTTTTATTGAAAAAAAAAATAATTGTGTAATTGAAGACATGACTGGATGAACATATTATGTTACAAGCATTCAAAATCTAACTGTTCTGCATTAATAAAGGTTTAATGTATCTCTCCGTCTAATACCCCCATCAAAGATTTCAGAAGTTAAACAATATTTTAATATTTTCTACAACACACTACTTCAAGGATATATTTACACCAAAATAATTACATAATATAAATTTATATTTACACCAAAATAATTACATAATATAAATTTACATCAGTTCACTTAAAACTTTTTTAATGTACTTTGTATCACATTTGTGTGTATTTTGTTTATTGTATTGTTATATGGTTTTATAGATTTCTATTAATATAGCAAATGAAGGGTGATGTTCTCTAGAACTCCAGACTTTACATGTATAATTTAAAGTAAATAAACTTTGCAATATAACACTTTCATTTACTTGTGTCTTCAATTCATTTAAAATTTTTAAGAAGGTAATGTCTTAAATTGTCAAAAAGTATTAAAATGCTGCTTTTGTAATTTAGAAAAATAAATATTTACTTTGATAAACATTCTACATGTTTGTAGTTTATCAAAAATATTGTTCTATATGAAACAGATAGATAGGAAAGAAAACCAATTTACAAAATTAACACATCACTAATTTTAAAATTATTAAAATCTTATTAAATATAATAAAATGGAGTAAAAAACATAAGTTCCCCCACACCGGGTCATATAAGACAAAAAAAATTTACACTCTAACAAATATCCAACGTGAAAAATCCAATCATCAAAAGCATTTGCTAACCTATGTTTGGATTTTTCATGCCGGATATTGGTTACAGAATGTACATTTTTTTTTTTTTGGTAATAAAATGGAATTTTATCATATATAAAATAAAAAAATTTTAACTACAGTAGAGCGTCAATTATCCGAATCAATTGGGGACTGGGATTGTTCGGAAGATCGATGTTTTGGATAACCGATTATGTACGAAAAAATATATTAATTTATCCCATCTTCACATTTTTCTCCGTTGCGTGTCGCTTCGTGTTGAATTTTCGTCAACGTTAAGCCAAATGAAGCCTATTGTATTGTTAAAAATTATTTTTTTATTTTATACAAACAAAATAAATATATTGAAAAATATAAAAACAATAAAAAATTATACTTCAGAAGTTAGTTTAGTATCAAAAATGTAAAATATTTAAGTAGCCCAAGACATAGCCAAAGATTGCAGCGCCACAGCATTGGCGAAAATTTAAATTTGTCAACTGGAATTCTTTCGGATAATTGACGTTTCGGATGATTGACTTTAGGATGATCGACGCTCTACCATATTAAATAAATATTTTAAATTTACAAAACAGATGCATTTTATTCTGTAAATCTATTAGGATAAAATTCTATTTCTGTTTTCTAAATGCAAGCAAACCAACTACTTTTATATATAAGCAACTCTAAGCAAAACAGTTATATTAAAGCCAAAATATAATTATAATTAAATTAGTAAGAGATGCCACCCAATGCCTATCTCTCAGCAAAATTACTTAGCATTTAATTATTAATAATAGCAGTAATATCGCCTAATTTAATCTGACAATCGTTTAGCTTTAATACTTTTAAATAAGTGATATTTTTAAATCAANCAAAAAAATATACGTATTTTGGAAATGTTGAGTCGAATTAGTCTAGAATCGATTAATTTTATGAAAGAAAACCTTTCAAACAGCCGTAGTCCGTAAACTATGATTCCTACAAAATTGATTCATAAAGAACGGAACGTATCTACCGTCTTATAGGGGGATCTACTGTATAGTGAAACAACCACATTCCATAACAAACAACAAATTAGCAAAACATTGAAAAGAGTTTTAAAATACTAATTAATCTCTTATGAACTAAAGTAAATAACTTCAATTTATATTATTATTTAAAATTTTAAAACTTCCCATTTTGATACAAAAATTGTTTTATTTATTTATTTTAAGAAAAACTGTTTCTTTTCAATTCATAAAACTCACCCTGCTCTTTGCAGAATCATACATATCTCCTTCAACTTTTTTGGCATAAGAGACTAGATTAATCATTCTCTTGTCTTGCAAAGCAGACTGATCAGGCATTGGAAATATTGCTTGAACTCTAAAGACAAACATTATAACCACATCATTATATTTTTATATTTATAGTATGTATTATTTTAATACCTATCTTAAAAATATTTTTGCAATAATAAGGATAAAAAATACACTTTTTAAAAAAATCATTTAAATTCTAAATACATTAAATAACAGCCTTACTTTTGATCTGAATTTCTGTCTAAAGAGTTTCTGTCTAATACATCTGGGATTGTTCTGTTAAGGAAAGCAGTGAGGATATCGATAAAGGGGACAATTCTTAACACAATAACAGATATTACAAAAGGGAGTTTATAATTTTTTAAATTAATTTTTACAGGAATTGAAAATGTTAGATCAATGAAACAAAAGATATAAAAATTTAACTAATTCATTGCATTCCAATTTTAATAATCACGTTCAATAATACTCTCCATTAATAATTTGAAATATTTAATTTAAATTCAAAATAATCATTAAAATTTCCTTATTTTGCTATTATATTATATAAACTTAAATGTTATTTAATGAATAAAATTTAATTTGAAAATGAACAAACAATATATCAGCATTTTGATTTCTATTATTTAAAAAAAAATTAAATTCAAGCTTATGTCAACTCTAACAAAAATATTGATGTAATATTTTAATGAATTACTATAGTTTTTGAAGTTAAAATCATTTCAAAATAAACTGAAACAGCTTTAACTTTTCAGTTAAGAAATAAATGTTTAAAACTAATATTTTCATATTATATAATTAATTTTACATTTTATAGAAAATCATAATTTGCATTCAATATTACTTCAATATTATAAATATATAAATTACACAAAGATATTGATTATATATATATATATATTTTGTAGTAACACATAATTGAAATTAAAAAATAAAGTTTAATTTAAGATTGTTTTATACTCATTTTTAATTATAATTAAACTCATATTTTATAATCTAGTACAGTGCTTCTCAAACTTTCAGTATTCCTGGATCAGTTTTCTTCATTCCAATCCCTTGTGGATCAGTATATTTTGTGAAATAAAAATAATTATAAAATGAAGAAAGCACAGTTCAAATGCAATTTTTTAATTTTAATTTTTAGACAATAAAAACAAAAAAACTTTGGTTATAATCATTTTGAAAAAATGGGTTTGTTGGGCATTATGTAATTTTTCAGGGCAATTTTGATTGCTGATCCACCTCTGACATTAAACATTTAAATAATCACAAAAAGTAATAAAACAACATTTTCTAAAAGACAGTTTTATTAATGTAATATATAAAATTATGAATTTTAAGTAAAATCTCACATCCCAGTAATAAACTGTTTAGGGACCAATGCTGATCTGTAGTTTGAGTAGCACAGATCTAGTATACAACAATATTTATTTTTTACACTTCTATCAGTGTTAATTTATACTGCCATAAAAAGTGACATGTAGCCATTTCCTCCAGATATATGTACTGTACATACATACATACCTAAAAGATTCTACTTCAGAAAATATATCTGGTAGGGTAATATAAAAAATAAACCAAACTTTTAATATAAATATTATTATTATGTTACAAGTATTTAAAGAAGACTACCATCAAAATAATGATATGCATCAAAATACTTCTGAAAAGTCACAAATTCAAATCAGTACATGAAAGAGAAAAAAATGCTGTGGTGATTGCACTCAAGAAGATAACACAGAACAGGCTACACAACTATTTTAATAAATGGTTGCCATTTTTAACAGATGTATGTAGATGCAGATGTTCATTTTGGTTAGTCTTCTATAAATATTTGTACTGTCAGTATAATAAAAATTATATTACAAATTTGGTTTATTTTTGACTCTACCAAGTATATATTTTAAGAGAGACAAAACATCAGAGGATTTATTCTTATTACAATTATATTGAAAAATTCAGTTATTTTTCATGTCTTATTGCTAGATCTATAATCAAGAAATAATCAGTCTAAACATATAAATCAGAAATAGCTCTTGAAAATGAATAGCAATACAAAAAAACTGTTTATTGTAGAAGAAATTTGATCTATAACTTAAATTTCTTTTCATTCTGTGTTCTAATAAGCTTTATTATAAAAACTAATGAACTCATCTTAATTTCAATTTTATATAAACATATTTATTATATTCTTCCTAATTTTTATACATCTAACAATAGACAGATCATCACTTGAAAAAGTCCCCAAAAATATATTTATTTTAAATTCTTAATATTTAAAAGCATATAAATATATATACAGACAATATAAAAAAAGTAAAAAAATAAAATGTTTTGAGTATTTGCAAATAGTTATCTTAAAATATCTATGGACAACAACTTCAATTTTAATAAGATGATTCTTTTTGTTGTCTTTATCTTATCACAAACATTGATTGTATCTAATAAAACCACAAACCATTATTTAACTGTTATTGAATAATTTTATAATCAATACTAATTTAAAATCATGCTTTTTGAAGTTAATTTTCAAAACATTTTCAATTTTAAAAATTGCAATAACAATATGAAAAAATAATCATCACCAATTTTCAGACTTGAGTAATACAGAGGTTGAATCAGTTAATACTGGAAAATTTCTTATGCAAATATGAACCAAATCATGTGGGCACATAAAAATCAGCCAACTTTCTGGAATATTAAAAATTTTTTTTAAATGCCAGGAGGAAAAACAATTAGGCCAATAAAAATAACAGCATGTTGGAAAGAGGAGCATCTGTGGACTTGGACTATCCAATGCCAAATATAGCCTTTTCAGGATAGTAAAAAAGTGAAAAAAAAACTGGCACACATAAATTGGAACTACATACTAAACACACAAATTCACACCTAAATGTTAATTCCAGCAGTAAATAAACAAAAATAAACTTTAATATTCAAACATTTTTGGCAGTCTTTCAGAGGCCCTTGTTGGGAAAAATGCATACAACCAAAAAAAAAAAACAGTTCTATCTTTTGAAAACTTTTAGTTTTCGAATATAGCTGTGTTCTAATTTTTAAACATTTAAACGCTTTTGAATACAAAGATTGTTACNAAAAAATTATACTTCAGAAGTTAGTTTAGTATCAAAAATGTAAAATATTTAAGTAGCCCAAGACATAGCCAAAGATTGCAGCGCCACAGCATTGGCGAAAATTTAAATTTGTCAACTGGAATTCTTTCGGATAATTGACGTTTCGGATGATTGACTTTAGGATGATCGACGCTCTACCATATTAAATAAATATTTTAAATTTACAAAACAGATGCATTTTATTCTGTAAATCTATTAGGATAAAATTCTATTTCTGTTTTCTAAATGCAAGCAAACCAACTACTTTTATATATAAGCAACTCTAAGCAAAACAGTTATATTAAAGCCAAAATATAATTATAATTAAATTAGTAAGAGATGCCACCCAATGCCTATCTCTCAGCAAAATTACTTAGCATTTAATTATTAATAATAGCAGTAATATCGCCTAATTTAATCTGACAATCGTTTAGCTTTAATACTTTTAAATAAGTGATATTTTTAAATCAATAAGCTTATTACTACCAAGAAATTGAAAATAAGTTATTCTCTTTTAACATAAATTTCTTCAAGAACTCCCTGGTTTAAAAGAATTTTTAAAGAGCATAAAAGCTGTATGACTATGCACAGTTACAGTAGAAAGGTCAACTCCAAGTTTGCTAACAAAACAGGTAGCTGTATTGACTACAGTAATTAGTCTAAATCAGTGTTTTTCAACCTTCTTGAATACACGACCACTTTGCAAGTTAAAAACTTCTGGCAACCCCACAGGCCCATATTAAAACTATATCAGTGATTTTAAAAACTACGTATTTAATTTTCTTTATGAGACCTGAATATCGATTGAAAAACCAATTATACTGTAAAATAAACAGGTATAGCCTTCTCACTAAAATTGTAGTTTTTTTTTTTATTGTAGTGTAGGACCTACAAACACTTGTCTTTTTCTTTTACCCGCGACCCCGTGTAAGGCTTTGCGACCCCCTGGGGTCGTGACCCACAGGTTGAAAAACACTGGTCTAAATAAAAAGCATTTGAGTAAGAAGGACTATGTCATTAGCACTATTAATTTCATGGTAAGTACGACATTTTTAAATACACAGTTTTTACTTATAGAAAGACAGAAAAGAGCATTTGTATCAACGTAGATAATACAGAAATTTATTTTCTGTATTAAATGGAAGTGAAACAACTAAAGAAAAAGAAATAAGCAAAATAAACTAATCAAACACATCTGCAGATATTTTTTCAATACAAAATCTTTATTTTCATTTTCAGAAATGAAAATAATACTTTATTTTAAACATTAAAAATTAGAATATTAGAAAATTGCCAGAGGATTACTTCAACCTCATGCTTATTTAATTTTACTCTGATGGTTTTTTTTTTTTGGAAATGACAAAAAGAAAACTTTTCTAAGATTTTAAGTGTTTTTAGATTTCAATTCAAGTTTAGATTTCCACCATTATTCCCTCCTATATTAGGAGCAAGTAACAATAATCAGCATAATGACATTCATGCCACAAATTAATTTTTAAATCAAAATATATTAGAAGTAGAATGATATTAAACTGTCTTTTTAAGAATAAACAACCAGATACCACGCATTTTCTTTTTTAAATTAAAGAGATCTTAAGAGAATGTTTCTATAATCAATCATTTTTCAAATTTAAATTTCTAAATATAAACATTAAAATACTTACTGTCATTTGTCTAGTCTTTAAGGTTTCACCAAAATGAGGATGACTTTGACTAATGGAAGAACCAAACTGATTCATTGAATTACCAGTGCAGGTAGGTGTCACAGATGCTATATCTAATGAAGAGGAGGCCATCGTAACAGTTCCAGTCATATTATTGAAAGGAGATTGTTGCATACTAACAGGAGGTAAACGTGGAAGTGAAGTATGTGTAAAATGATTCTGATTTACATTCATTCCTACATTGGGACCAAGAGAATTCTGTAGTTGGCTTGGTGAAGGAAACATATCTCCTCTTGGACCCATATTGCCAGGTATTGTAACATTTGGTGGAGGTATGCGCTGTTGAGCAGAAGGAAGAGACATGTTGGAAATGTGAGATTGTGCTTGTCCACTAATGGTTGAAAGATCTGTAAAATAATTTTAATTGTTATTCAGATTAATTTTTATAAATTAATTTGATAAAATATAATTAAAATGCATTATTATTCATTAATTACTTAAATTCTGCAGGGTCATCATTTAATATTAAAAATATATATTTCTAGTACAGATAAATCATGAAACATGTTCATGAACTTAAAATAACATGCAATCATTCGAAAATTATTACTCATTAAACTTTCTAATATGTCAGACTACAGCTATATTCACATATATTTATGTATGCATATTATGCATATATATGTCAGACTACAGCTATATTCATATATATTTATGTATATATTTCCATAATCTGACATAGTATATACATTTCTAACCATGAAATAAACTACTTACTAATATTTGGAGTGCCAGGACTACCCATAAGATGACCAACTGGACTGTTAATGGGTTGAACTTGCTGCATTTGCTGTTCCTTTCGTTTCTGCCGTTTCTCTTCCAATTCTTTTTGAATCTTATAAATTTTTTCAGCTAGTAGTTGATAATATTCTTCCTACAGAAGTATTATAAACAAACAATTCAACAATTTTCATAAATTTAAAAAAATCTGAATTAAAATTAACAGAAAAGGTATATTTTTTAGAATAACTTTTAAAGCTAATTTTTTAATTAGAATTTTAAAGTCACTTATCTAAAACAAACAAGACATCCCTAGTTAATAATTCAAACTAAGTTATGTGGCAACAAGTTTTTCATATTAAAGAATAAGTATTTGCTCATGTAAACAGTTTATTCTTTTAAGTGACTTAAAACAATATAAATCATCAAAAAGTAACATTTTTTAAAATTTGCCAATTTGATAAAAGTTCAAAACAATTATCTGAAAAAAGGGAGAGAATCAGATTTTTGTAGATTACATACCAACTAAAACAGAATTATATTTAAAAAATGCTGTAGATAATTCTTCACTTAAGTGAATTGATTCAATTAATTTTACATTAATACATATAATTTCTTTATAGCAAAAATTGAAAACTTCTCTTCTCTTTTATAATAAAACAATGTATTTTCCAAGTACCTTATAAATATTATGAGCAAGTCAAATATTAAAAAATTTTTAAAACCTGAATTCTTTAAAACTGAACTGAAAACTAACAACTTGAATCTGCAACAATAGTTAAAAATTCTAGTAGTAATTAAATAATTTAATATTAACAGAACTTTGTAATGACATTGTAATTATTTTCATGATTTATCTCAATATCTAATAAATAAGCTGTTTTAATTATTTTGTCTTTAAGATGATACTGTTATAAATAACGTACAAATCTCTGTATTTTATTATAGAAAAATTATTTAAATTAAGAACACAGAAAATTTTATCATTTAATAATAAAATCTAAAAATTTGAACAAGTTTTCTAAAATAATCAAATTATCATATTTTAAATTTTTTACTATGTGAAATACAAAATTACAGTAGATCCCCCTATAAAACCGTTTCCTATAGTTATGATTCCTATAAAAATTGTGGTATTATCCGTAAACAACGGTAAAAATAACTCCTATAATACGTAAAACGTCATCGGGCAGCCGAACTACTTACCCGCCGTCCGTAGCGCCACGCTACGGAGAGATTTCTATCGTCTGGACAGTATTATATAAATTATATATAAATTAGGTACTGTACATATAATTATATATTAATTATATATAAATTAGGTACTGTATATATAATTATATATTAACTTAATTTATTGTAACTTTATTATAATTAAATATATATTTTTCGCCGTCTAGCGTCACGCTACGGCGAGTTAGGCGACCTATCGTCTGTTTAGTACTGTAATTTTATACATTTCTTGTGAAAGAAACATTTCTTATTTAACGGCCATAAAAATTATTTATATTAATGATGTCTCCAAAGGTCAACGAAGTTTTCGCAGAAAAATAATATCAGAAATCGCGGCCGCAATTTGATGCGCTGTTCCGCGACGAAACCAAGCTTTAGCAACGGGCGTAGTCGAACGGTACACACTCGGTAAGCAATCCTACAATTTTTTGTTTATAACGTAGTTTATACGGATTATTTTCAAAAAAATATACGTATTTTGGAAATGTTGAGTCGAATTAGTCTAGAATCGATTAATTTTATGAAAGAAAACCTTTCAAACAGCCGTAGTCCGTAAACTATGATTCCTACAAAATTGATTCATAAAGAACGGAACGTATCTACCGTCTTATAGGGGGATCTACTGTATAGTGAAACAACCACATTCCATAACAAACAACAAATTAGCAAAACATTGAAAAGAGTTTTAAAATACTAATTAATCTCTTATGAACTAAAGTAAATAACTTCAATTTATATTATTATTTAAAATTTTAAAACTTCCCATTTTGATACAAAAATTGTTTTATTTATTTATTTTAAGAAAAACTGTTTCTTTTCAATTCATAAAACTCACCCTGCTCTTTGCAGAATCATACATATCTCCTTCAACTTTTTTGGCATAAGAGACTAGATTAATCATTCTCTTGTCTTGCAAAGCAGACTGATCAGGCATTGGAAATATTGCTTGAACTCTAAAGACAAACATTATAACCACATCATTATATTTTTATATTTATAGTATGTATTATTTTAATACCTATCTTAAAAATATTTTTGCAATAATAAGGATAAAAAATACACTTTTTAAAAAAATCATTTAAATTCTAAATACATTAAATAACAGCCTTACTTTTGATCTGAATTTCTGTCTAAAGAGTTTCTGTCTAATACATCTGGGATTGTTCTGTTAAGGAAAGCAGTGAGGATATCGATAAAGGGGACAATTCTTAACACAATAACAGATATTACAAAAGGGAGTTTATAATTTTTTAAATTAATTTTTACAGGAATTGAAAATGTTAGATCAATGAAACAAAAGATATAAAAATTTAACTAATTCATTGCATTCCAATTTTAATAATCACGTTCAATAATACTCTCCATTAATAATTTGAAATATTTAATTTAAATTCAAAATAATCATTAAAATTTCCTTATTTTGCTATTATATTATATAAACTTAAATGTTATTTAATGAATAAAATTTAATTTGAAAATGAACAAACAATATATCAGCATTTTGATTTCTATTATTTAAAAAAAAATTAAATTCAAGCTTATGTCAACTCTAACAAAAATATTGATGTAATATTTTAATGAATTACTATAGTTTTTGAAGTTAAAATCATTTCAAAATAAACTGAAACAGCTTTAACTTTTCAGTTAAGAAATAAATGTTTAAAACTAATATTTTCATATTATATAATTAATTTTACATTTTATAGAAAATCATAATTTGCATTCAATATTACTTCAATATTATAAATATATAAATTACACAAAGATATTGATTATATATATATATATATTTTGTAGTAACACATAATTGAAATTAAAAAATAAAGTTTAATTTAAGATTGTTTTATACTCATTTTTAATTATAATTAAACTCATATTTTATAATCTAGTACAGTGCTTCTCAAACTTTCAGTATTCCTGGATCAGTTTTCTTCATTCCAATCCCTTGTGGATCAGTATATTTTGTGAAATAAAAATAATTATAAAATGAAGAAAGCACAGTTCAAATGCAATTTTTTAATTTTAATTTTTAGACAATAAAAACAAAAAAACTTTGGTTATAATCATTTTGAAAAAATGGGTTTGTTGGGCATTATGTAATTTTTCAGGGCAATTTTGATTGCTGATCCACCTCTGACATTAAACATTTAAATAATCACAAAAAGTAATAAAACAACATTTTCTAAAAGACAGTTTTATTAATGTAATATATAAAATTATGAATTTTAAGTAAAATCTCACATCCCAGTAATAAACTGTTTAGGGACCAATGCTGATCTGTAGTTTGAGTAGCACAGATCTAGTATACAACAATATTTATTTTTTACACTTCTATCAGTGTTAATTTATACTGCCATAAAAAGTGACATGTAGCCATTTCCTCCAGATATATGTACTGTACATACATACATACCTAAAAGATTCTACTTCAGAAAATATATCTGGTAGGGTAATATAAAAAATAAACCAAACTTTTAATATAAATATTATTATTATGTTACAAGTATTTAAAGAAGACTACCATCAAAATAATGATATGCATCAAAATACTTCTGAAAAGTCACAAATTCAAATCAGTACATGAAAGAGAAAAAAATGCTGTGGTGATTGCACTCAAGAAGATAACACAGAACAGGCTACACAACTATTTTAATAAATGGTTGCCATTTTTAACAGATGTATGTAGATGCAGATGTTCATTTTGGTTAGTCTTCTATAAATATTTGTACTGTCAGTATAATAAAAATTATATTACAAATTTGGTTTATTTTTGACTCTACCAAGTATATATTTTAAGAGAGACAAAACATCAGAGGATTTATTCTTATTACAATTATATTGAAAAATTCAGTTATTTTTCATGTCTTATTGCTAGATCTATAATCAAGAAATAATCAGTCTAAACATATAAATCAGAAATAGCTCTTGAAAATGAATAGCAATACAAAAAAACTGTTTATTGTAGAAGAAATTTGATCTATAACTTAAATTTCTTTTCATTCTGTGTTCTAATAAGCTTTATTATAAAAACTAATGAACTCATCTTAATTTCAATTTTATATAAACATATTTATTATATTCTTCCTAATTTTTATACATCTAACAATAGACAGATCATCACTTGAAAAAGTCCCCAAAAATATATTTATTTTAAATTCTTAATATTTAAAAGCATATAAATATATATACAGACAATATAAAAAAAGTAAAAAAATAAAATGTTTTGAGTATTTGCAAATAGTTATCTTAAAATATCTATGGACAACAACTTCAATTTTAATAAGATGATTCTTTTTGTTGTCTTTATCTTATCACAAACATTGATTGTATCTAATAAAACCACAAACCATTATTTAACTGTTATTGAATAATTTTATAATCAATACTAATTTAAAATCATGCTTTTTGAAGTTAATTTTCAAAACATTTTCAATTTTAAAAATTGCAATAACAATATGAAAAAATAATCATCACCAATTTTCAGACTTGAGTAATACAGAGGTTGAATCAGTTAATACTGGAAAATTTCTTATGCAAATATGAACCAAATCATGTGGGCACATAAAAATCAGCCAACTTTCTGGAATATTAAAAATTTTTTTTAAATGCCAGGAGGAAAAACAATTAGGCCAATAAAAATAACAGCATGTTGGAAAGAGGAGCATCTGTGGACTTGGACTATCCAATGCCAAATATAGCCTTTTCAGGATAGTAAAAAAGTGAAAAAAAAACTGGCACACATAAATTGGAACTACATACTAAACACACAAATTCACACCTAAATGTTAATTCCAGCAGTAAATAAACAAAAATAAACTTTAATATTCAAACATTTTTGGCAGTCTTTCAGAGGCCCTTGTTGGGAAAAATGCATACAACCAAAAAAAAAAAACAGTTCTATCTTTTGAAAACTTTTAGTTTTCGAATATAGCTGTGTTCTAATTTTTAAACATTTAAACGCTTTTGAATACAAAGATTGTTACATATTACAATATATAAATAAATTGTTTTTTAACTATAAGCTATAAATAAATTCATTAATAATATAATATATTGTGTTGTAAAAGTTAGCCTGATGTCTTAATGTATAAACGATGTTTGATAAGGAAAATTGTTTCTTTTACATTGCCTACAGCTAAATGCATAATTACACGTCAAAAATTATTGTTATGCTTTGTGGTATTGTAAATAGTACTTCCACAATTGTGGAACTGGAATATAGTTGGAGTTAACGCAACCTCCCTTCATGCTCGCTATATAAAGTTTATTTTTGCTCATTTACTGCTGGAATTAGCATTTCGGTGTGAATTTGTGTATTTAGTAAAAAAGTGTTCAGAAAAAGTTCTCACATAAGTAAATCAAGTATAGGTAGTATTATTCAAAAGTGCAACTGGGTGCTTCAGGAAAACTATATGCCTCCTAAGAAACAGCAAAGATGTTATCCCAGCCAATCCATTCTTTAGAGAAGACCCAACAAATCCATGCCAGTATTCTCAAGAAGAATCCTGCTACACAAAGTAGTTTGTCCAAAAGACTGAAGCTTGTGAAAATATCACAAGCTACAGTGAAAGGGATTATTTATGAATATCTTAATCTTGAAAATGTGCACAAAACCAATGAATACACAAAAAGTTGTGCTCAATTTTCTAAAAAAAGGGGGGGCAACATGTAGCTCCAATCTTGTCAGGCAGTGCAGTGTGTTTTCTTCAAAGAATTCATGACAACTTGAATTGTGCTTATGGCAAACTTATATCATCCATGTGAAAATAAATGCAAATATCAATGCAGTCTACTTTCAGATCAAGATTATGGGACAGCAGTGTCAAGAGTGTGGATACATATAAAAAAGCATCCAGTCAAACCAAGTCTTCAGTAGCCTACTACATTAGGAAAGCAGTGGAGACCTTTATCAGGATGATCTCCTTTCCATCCATTCCTGTAAAATCCCCAGATGTCTCACCCATCAATTTCTGTAGCTTTTAAAAGCTACAGAAATTGGTCTCTCAATAGAACACTGAAAGACTATTGCAAGACTGAAAAGTATGCCAGAGTGTGAAACAAAATTCTCTTGAATCTCTGCAATGAAGACTCCTGCAGTAGAAACTTTGTTGTAGAGTTAAAGTTCTGCCTCAAGGAAAGCACATCAAAAACTGATAATGGCAGAGCAGTATAGGGAACACCCACAGATCTTACAAAATGTCCAGAATTAACCAACTCACACCTCTGTGTTCTTATAAATTTATAATTTTCTCGCATATGCTCTAGAACAGTGTTTCTCAAACTTTTTTGCTCAATACATTTGTTTGTAATGGTTCTGCAACCTGAATGTTTAAAATATAAAATTAAAAGGAAACAACTGGTAAACTGGAGTTACTATATATTATACAGCAAAATACAATTATGCATTACTGATAATAACTTATATGTGTGAAATGTAACGTTAATTAAGTACATTTTCTATTAAGAGCAGTTCCTGCCAATTTCGATTTGTAAGAAAAACATTTCAATAATAAAAAACTGAAATTAAAGTAAGTTAACTATTAAAAAATGTAAAACTGAAGACTGTAAATAAACAGACTGTTTCAAAATTATTCAAGAGTCTATTTTACTTTAAAAAATATTACAAGTTTTTTTAAAAACTTAATGAACTGGTTTTTAAAATGTACTTTTCAGTTTGTAAGAAACTTTTGCCAATTTCATTTTGTGTACACACACACACACACACAAAAAAAAATCATTTATTGATCCACTTGTGCCAAAATTCATTATTCATTCTGTATAATAATTTATTGTTATGTATAACAATAAACCTAAAAGTTTGAATAAACAAGAAAATATTTTCAAAATCATTGCAACTTAAATGGCTTTATGATTATGACCTTACATGTAACGATTTTCTATTTTAATGTTATTCAAAATAGAAAAGAAATCAATTTCACATACACACATTCTATAATCTTGACTTTATCATTTATAAATTTACGGCAATATTAATAATTAGAAAAACTTACTAAAAGTTTTCAGTACTTAACAGATGTATCTATTGTTCCTAGTTCTTAGAAAATATTTCAGTAATACGACTATTTCTGCAGAAGACAGTATCATTTCACAACCCATTAAAATTTTGACATGACCCAATACTGGGTCAGTATAGTTTGAGAAATGCTACTCTAGAAACTAAAAAAATTAAACCTTATCTAAATTGGTTCATTTCATAATTCAATATTCCTATTTCACATTTCAAAATAAATTTCATCAATAGAGATATGGACATTCTAATAAGATCTCAATAAGCAAATTACAAAGTTAATATGATACTTAAAGGGAAAAAATATGATAAATGACATTTTGAAAATTTCTAGAGCATAAAAACAAAAATAATTTGTTTAATGCAAAAAAATAAATCAATTAAATAAAAAATAACACAATCAACTTGTCTTAAAACAAACCTCGATAAAGCAAATTTTGCCATTGTCCTGGCAAAACGCCATTGCCACAACATTAATTTTCATACAATAAAGCAAACAAAAATTTTACCAAATTTCATTAAACTGAACAGTAAATTACCCAAGAAATAACCCTATTTCCAATAATGGTTGCTTTTTTTACATATTTCAACATGAACAATATAATGATACTGTAATAAATGTTCTATTCTGAGTAGAGTGGATTTTCTTCTCTTACTAAGAAAAAAGTTAAGTTCAACATCTGTAATCAAATTCAAAGTTTTGGTTTCAGCAGACCATTCTACTGCACTCAGAAAATAGGGGTTAAAGTTTAAGAATACTCATTCCTTTAAATGGATGCAGTCCAATGCAAACATGTGCTAGTTTGCATTTCGAGGAGTACATAAACTGATTCCTCCTGATTTGACTACTTTGCACCAAATTGGGCTTTTTTTACTCTTTTAATGACAAAAAAAAAGTGGTGCCTTGGCTACACATCCCACCATTAACATTACTCAAATTCATATGTCATACTCTGCACCATAGTGTCAGGATGATCAAAATATTGCTCAATGAAAGTGATGATTCCATAAATGTGAGAGAGAGATTGGCAAAGATGTTCAACCATCTAACCCTTCTTTCAAGGATGTAATGAATGCAGTAAACACCATATGCTACTATCTGCAGTTTGAAAGTAATACACTTCACCATACATTCAGGATTAAAAAAGTAGAAGAAAAAAATTTATATCAATCTTCAATATACCTCGCCTTATGTCGATAATTGGTTCCAGGAGAGATGACTTAAGTCGAAAAACGACATAAGTTGAATTTACTTGTCACTAGGCTAAACCACAAATAACCATTCCCAGTTCTGTATTTTAATTATAAATGCATTTTTAATAATATATGATTAATAAAAATCTATTTTAAGCTTTCAAACAAATAAATTTTAGTTTTTATTACAGTACAGGAAAAAAGTAATCTAAATTTACGAATATATGTACAGTACGCACATACTTGTAAATATACATGTTTACAATTTGGCGATGTTTACAGTACATCACGGACTCTTTATTTGTGAATGTGGTTTGCTCTAAGACATTATAAAATATGATGATTTTGTAAGGTTAAATAACAAATACAGTTATTAAAATTATTTTGCAATAGTAAAAAATAAACTAATTTATGTTAAATTTAACAATAACGAAGGCGCTGACAATGAAGCTAAACAGTAGATATTGGAACTACTGTGGAAAATGCCAATATTGAGCTCTTAAAGACCGCTAAATAAAATGACAACACAGAGTCACAAATGTTTTCATATTTCGTTCTCTATGATTTATGATGATTATATTAACATTTACTGTAAATGTATGTATTTTAATATGATTTTATGTGCTTTTAACACTTTTCTAGTGATATTA